AAAAAAAAAACCAAAACCCCCTTCTTCCTTCCCCTTTTAGGATGGGAGGGGAAGTTTCAAATAACAAAAACCACTGTCATCAAGGAGAGAATATCACGAGTTCATCAGAAAAGAAGTTCGTCAACACGTTACACATTAAATTTTAATATCGCATTTTATGAATCAGTCACCTCGGTTTTGTATAACTAGAAGATGTTCAAGTTTAACCAAAGCTCAAATCTCAACAGAGGCGACACTAGTTTAATTGTTCTCTTTGCGTAAGTCTTTGTCGACGATTTTACCGATATGTATGTTGGTGGGAGGTAGTAGGTATTCGTTAGATCAGATGCAATACCACCACAAGCTGGTCTCGCCACCACCATTATATAAATAAACGCACATGCATATAAGAGCATTTATCAATTGTACTTACTACCTAATGCCAACTTGATGTTGGAAGATGAGAAGTTAAGACGGTACCAAGCATTTTGATCATCCAAGATTCATCCAACACCACTCAAAGTGACCATGTGTCTAAAATTGTTAGATTTAAACAGCTTATTTCACTTGTATAATTGTAAACAAGCTGCACACAGTTTAAGGAAAACTCAAGGAGAGAGAGCGACTTTTGAAGAGTCAAGTGTTTGCTGTCCTTGCAGAAAATTTTTCTCCTGTTTGCACCTATCTATCAGCAGTACTCATGTTACCGCTTTACCAGATATACATGTTATTGAAATTTCAGAAACAGATAAAACGAGAAGCAAAATGTGTTAAGCAACCAAGCTAATTATTAAATACTAATTGTCGATACACAGCAATTACCAGAGGTCTTACCCGTCCTTAAATATTCAGGAGGAGTAAATGCCAAGTTCGTGCTGTAACTTTTTCCATCTCGACTGTTCTTCATCAAACCAAAGCAAGAGAGACGGGGATCACCTTCCTGAGAAATAGCCAAAGGGTATATCATTAGAGGCACTTAAATCCTTATACTTACCAATAAACAACGAAAGAATGACCATGGAACTATGTACTTACTTCATCAAATAATATTCTATAAGCATTAAGATCGTGATAGAGTGCACGCCCTTTGCTTGTACAATACTCAAGAGCCTGTCCAAGATACAAAGCCACCCTTAAGCGCATTGCCCATTTCATGGGTTGTGTCTCCCCTGGATATGTAAATATGATAAGTCAACTTGAATTTTCACCAATCACAAAGATATACATATCTTCCTTAAATCTTCACAAAAGTCGTGATTCCCGTTTTCCTTCATTAAAGCAGTAAAAATATGAGTGTTCCCATCTCGTCCAACCTCATTTTCACCGACTTTCTAGGTGATCAGATAAATTCATAATTAGGTTTATTTTGAAAATCTTCATATTTTCTGGACAAGTGATGGTGTAAAAAAGAATAATTGCAAAAAAATATATATACTGATATATTATATCAATCAATCAACCCAGCTTAAATTCCAAATTAGTTTGGGTAAGCTATATGAATCATCTTTATCACTTATCCCTTGCCCCTTGAATAAGAATAACATATCAGTTACTCCTTCCATCTCTTCTCAATATAACTCAGGTTGCTCCTTTCATCATGTCGATTTAACACTTGACACACGTTAGAACTACTGTAGAAAATTCATCATGATTGAGCATCAACATCATGTAACCTAACTATAATTTTCTTAAGCATACAATATAGCTTGCAAGTAACAAGGACACAAAAAGCGCAGCCCAATGCACAAGGCATCCTCATTCACGCAGGTCCAGGGAAGGGCCGCACCTCAAAGGGTATGATGTAGACAGCCTACCCTAATGCAAGCATTAGTGGCTGCTTCCATGGCTCGAACCCGTGTGACCTATAGGCCATACAGAGACAGTTTTACCGTTGCTCCAACGCTCCCTTCCAAGTAATGATGATACAAACCATAGATATCGGGACACAATTCCCCCCCCCCCCCCC